TATTTTAAAGTTTTAATTAAGAAAATTATTAGTAATTGCACTAAAAAATTTCAAAGATAGCTTTTACAAAGTAAGTTAATAACAGGTGAATTTTTACTATTAAACTTAGTAAAATAACTCTGCAGTTTCAGTTTTACTAAGAAAATTACCATTGCAGCTTCGATTTACTAAGAAAACTTAGTAATAACTGCCATCACGGCTTTGGTTTTACTAAGAAAACTTAGTAATAACCGCCATCGCGTCTTTGGTTTTACTAAGAAAACTTAGTAATAACTGCTATCGCGGCTTTGGTTTTACTAAGAAAACTTTGTAATAACCGCCATCACAGCTTTAGTTTTACTAAGAAAACTTAATAATAACCGCTATTATGGCTTCGGTTTTACTAAATAATAACCGCCATCTTGGCTTCATAACAATTTTATTAGTAAAAAAACGTTTCCGAAGCTGCAGACACGTTTTTTTACTAGGTTTCTTAGTAAAAAATGTCTCCAAAGCCACGAAGGCATTTTTTACTATATTTTTCTTAGTAAAAAGGTATTTCCGAAGCCATAAAGGCGTTTTTTACTATGATTTTCTTAGTAAAAAGGCATTTTTGAAGCCATAAAGGCGCTTTTTACTACAGTCGACTCTCTTTACAATTACATCCTTCAAGATCGCCTTATAGTGTAATTGTATAAAGGTGTACTTATATGTGATTATATAATTTTAAAAATTAAAATTAAAATTATCGATATTTATTTTATTACATTTATTACATCTATAGTTTATCATTTTAGATTTTTAACACTTCGGCTGGATCCAAAGCGGTAAATTTTGTTTCTTTTTTTTTTTGCTTCATTCTCTTTTCGCTTGGTTGTTAAATTAACCAATTTCTTTTTTTTTTAGATTTTTCAACATTTCGGCTGGATCCAAGGTGTAAGGTGGGTGTTTCGTTATTTCTTCTTTATTTCATTTTTCCTTCTTTTGCTTTGTTATTAATTAACTAATTTCTTTTTTTTTAGATCTTTGGGCTCTTCGACTGGATGCAAGGTGTAAGTTCGTTTCTTGCTTCATTTTTCCTTCTTTCGCTTAATTATTAATTAACCAATTTCTTTTTTTTTAGATCTTTGGGTTCTTCAGCTGGATCTAAGATACAAGGTGGGTGTTTCGTTATTTCTTCTTTGTTTTGTTCTTCCTTCTTTTGCTTGGTTATTAATTAACCAATTTCCTTTTTTTAGATCTTTGTATTCTTCAGCTGGATCCAAGATGCAAGGTAGGTGTTTCATTATTTCTTCTTTGTTTCATTCTTCCTTTTTTCGCTTGGTTATTAATTAACCAATTTTCTTTTTTTTAGATCTTTGGGTTCTTCAGCTGAATTCAAGGTGCAAGGTGAATGTTTTGTTATTTCTTCTTTGTTTCGTTTTCCTTCTTTCACTTGGTTATTAATTAACCAATTTCTTTTTTTTTTAGATCTTTGGGCTCTTCGGCTGGATCTCAAGACAGCTTCATTTTCTTATTTTGTTTTATTCTTTCGTTTATTTAAAAATTTCTAAATTTTCATATTCTTTTTTTTTTTAAATACAAGACTAGGATTAGTTTAGACCAGACTGACCAGATTGAGTAGGACTATTAGTTTTGTGAATAATTAATTTTTATTTAATAAAGTTTACCGATCTTTGACGTTAAATTTCACATGATTTATTATATTAATTTAACGTTATTTATTGATCAAATAAAAATTTATTTAATTTATTACCATTTATTTTAATTCATATCTTATGTAACTAAATAAATTTGTATTAAAAAAAAAGTTTTTTGAAAAAAACTTTAATAAATTAAATCTATTTAAATTTAATTAACTATCACGAAAATAATATCGTGAAAATACTTTTTTTTTAAAAAACATATTTCCTACCTCCACCCCTAACTACTCACCCTATGATCTCAACTTTAATTTATACTTTTTACCTTATACAAACGCGAACACGAAAAACTCATATAAGTTTGCAATACAAACCCCTTTATTTCAATAAAATTAGATTATCAATTGTAATCTCTTTACTAACTATCATAACTACAAATTATTAAAATTATTATAAACTTATTGTTCGTAGTACATATCAATAATACTTTGTTTTTTCCAATTAAAATCCTCCATTTTAGCTACCTGCAAATACTTTCGAAATGCTTTTAAATCTTTAGTATTATATATAAAATTATCTTGCTGTTCAAAATAATTTATAAATGTTTTTAATCCATCAATAGCTTTGTTAACTAAAATAGGAAGAACTTCTTCCTCTTCTTCAATATCACTTTCTTCTTTTTCTTCAGTTAATACCATATTAACTATTTGTTCATCAGTA